AACGAAAAGTCCCATTTAGTTGGTTAGTCATAAGTTCCGAATCACCAAGGACAAGCACGTGGACTGCCTCAAGTCGTGAAGATATTAAGGCAGATGATGAGGGCTTCATATTCGGCCTGATTATTTGTATAGTTGAAATCCAACTTGAGAGAAAAATACCATCGGTAGTGATCAGGGGATTGGATGACGATTCCAACGTCGACCGAGGTCGAGGTACTAGAACCATCAAAATACATCATCTAATAATTATCACTGTGTTTCCACAATGCCAATTTCACATGTCGTTGCTCCCAAAACCATATGGTGAGGGATGTTGAGCTAAGAAATAAGCCAGCGCCTATCCTTTGACAACTTTTTGGGCACGTACTATAAACTGAATTCGGACAGAGCCCTTGTCCATTTCCCAATTCGGCCTTTTATTATCGGCCAAGTGAGCATATAACGAATAACATCTGTCTGGTTGATAACCTGAGTAACAGAAGGGAGCATATAATGCCTAAGCTTGGACACAGCAAATAACAAGGCCAAACAGAGTTTCTCGACGACTGAATAATTTATCTTAGTTGAGTTAAGATTTCGACTAAGATAAAAAATGGCCTGCTCCCGGCCAATGTCATTGTCTTGCGCAATAAGACAGCCAATGGACTCCTCGACAGCTGAGATATACAACTTAAGAGGTTTACTGCGCTGAGATGGCACGAGGATAGGTGAGGTAGTGAGGGAGACCTTGATTTGCATGAAAGCAGCCTGATGCTCTTGCATTATTCGAATATGTCAGAATCCTTAAGTTACTTGCTGTGATGATGTATAAGAAAGCCTAAGTTACCTGCCCACACGCCAAATGCACATTTAGCAGGGTTCATTTCAAGGTTATGTTCGGCGGTGCTTTGATTTGACCACAACATCATCGATATATACTTCAACGACTGTGCCAATCAGGTTATGAAAAAAAGCATTCATAGCGCGTTGATATGTGGCACCGGCGTTCTTAAGGCCGACAGGCATGACAACCCATTCGTAGGTCCTGAGTGCCTCAAGGCAACAAAAAACAGTTTTGTGGACATCAACCTTAGTAATGAAAATCTGGTTGTAACCAGCATGGCTGTCCATGAAAGATAACATCTCTTGGTTTGCTGCAACGTCGATTAACAAGTTTGAAATTGGCATTGTATATTTGTCTTTAGGGGTTGCAACTTCAAATTACGAAAATCAATGCAAATACGTAGAGCACCACTTTTCTTTAAAACTGGGACAATATTCACCAACCATTCAATGTATCGAGTTTTTGGAATAAACCCAACTTTTAAAAGTTAAATAGGTTCATCCTTTATGTCGAGTTGAACTTCAGTCGAGAATCGTCAGTGGGGTTGGCAGAAAGGTTTACAACTAACCTTAATGCGTAATTCGTGCTCGACAAATGTTCGATCCAAGCTAAGCATCACATAGTAACTCTAAGCAAAACAATCTTTAAATTCTTTAAGTCATTTAGAAAGCTCGTATTTCATAGGTTGGGGTAACAAAGAACTAATAAATAAAGGTCGAGGGTCACCGACCATTCCAACATTTATTTCATCTAATAGATCTTTGACGGCTGTCCTCGAGCTCGGCTGGGGTAGTTTGGACTTGATCAAGTAACATGACTGGACCGTTGTCCCATTTAACAAGGAACTCTACTAAGTTCACGTTAGAATTCGATTACTTGGAAATAACATACTAATGGGCCAACAGGCGTTCTATGGTGGATGAAATTGCGGCCTGACGTTTATCCTATTTGGTATTAGACATCAGGGTAATCAATGAGGTTAGTCAACCCAAGTCTTGCCGAATCTTGCTGAACAGTCTTATTGCCAACTTTGATGGTTTTCTGAACTGAAATCTGAGTTGGCTATCTCTCTACGTAGAAACATTGCAAGGTGATGTAGCCGACATGATCATCGTGTAATAGCAAGCTTGAATTATATTTACTACCAAGCCTACGTGGTGCACAGGCCAAGTAACTAATAAGCTAACTACGTCATTCGGTTATGTGCAGGGCATGCCAACTCAACGGCCAAGCTCGACTAGGAGTAAAACATGCTGATGTCGCGTTGAGCGCGCTACTGACTTCTTGATGTTGCAACTGCGGCCAAGGAAGGAACACGTCTCGACCTTCAGGTTCTAAAGTCTGAAGACAAGGCCGCTAGTCCTGCGAAGTTCACAAATTGTTGGCGCCGGGTTCGGTCACCGTAGTTATATTCGTAAGAGTATAAGCACACCGAACTGGCACTAAACTATACGGACATAAATACTCGAATGAGATAAATGTCTAGATTGTAAATATGGTTCGGCCGTCAGAATGCCGAACTTTAAAACGTATTTGTGAATACCCAATCATAAAATAAAACTTGACTTTTAATGTGTCGAGCCTAGTAACCTGGTAACACCTCACTTCACCGAGAAGGCTAATAAGTTGACCTCTACCAACAAGGACTCGAAAATCCTTGTCGATCAAGACTTGGATAATAACCAGACGGCCTCGAAGCAGTGCTGTCTATCCAAACTGAAGGTGCTCTTTGCTGATTCTATGGCTCCAGTGCTACCTATCCAAACTGAAGATGTCGCCGGTTGCCTTCACAATGCTGTTCATTCAAACTGAATATGTATTGGCGGGAAGAAAGGGGAAGAGGGTAAAATCTCAAAAGTTGTTGAGAAGCTTTGTGCATGGCAATTTGTGTGTTGATTTAGAGGGGCCTTTGAATGATGCACTCCCTTCTCTATTTATAGTAGCGAACCCCCTTCATGGCCAAACTAGAAATGTATTCAGATTAGAATTCCTCATCCCAATCTGATTAGGTTTTGGCGAATCCTAGCTCTAATATGACTTTGAACCAAGCTCCATAGCGAACCAGATTCATCCCCTAATTCTAAGCATCTTCATCTTTAAGACTCCTTGTTGCACTAGGGTTCAACTACCTCACCCTTATCTAAACCAATCCATCTTGCAACAAGATTCGGCCGACCTCGACTGGATGGCCCATAACAAGATTCTAGACGAATGCTACTAGACCGAGAATAATGCTAAGCTCGGCCCAAAATATTATTTTGGGCCCAAACACCAAACAAATACATGAATTATTCAAGAATTAATTCTTACATATCAATTTGATGGGATGTTCCAAAAAATGCTTACACTAAATTTCAAACCTACTGGCAATTGGCAGTTGGCCTCCAACAAAATAGTATAAATCGCTAGTGTGTTACTGTTAGTATTCATATTTCGGAAGACTTTTAACCACAACGACTTGATTTTTTTTTATTTTTTATTTTTTTGTTATCAATCAAATTGAATATTTTCTATGCCCTATATTTTTTTGGTCGAAAATAAACTTCATTCATGAAAGGGAGAGTACGACCTGTGCAAGATAGGCCTAAACACAAATAAAAAAGCAAGACACTAAATAAAAAACAAGCCCAAGCAAAAGGATAGCAACAACTCAAGACATAAAGAGAAACCCGCTTATATTTAGACCTGTAGGCAACAGAAGAAAAAACAACAACAAAACCTTATATATTTGTTGGAATGCACAGTAAAGTACACATGGCGTAGGATAATACTAGTCACACGCTTATTTTACTTCTCATACACATTTATTAACTTTTTACCATTGATTTTCTTAATTTATTCAATCCGACAGTCCAAAATTAATAAGAGTGTGAGAAGTAAAAACGAGTGTGTGGATAGCACTACTCATGCGCATCGTTGTAGGAGGCTTTAATACCTGTTGTCCCTCCCATTAAATCAATTAGCCATTTAATTGACAATTAAAGTACATAAGGTGTATTTTGTTGGATAAGAAGATGAGAAATGATAAGGAGGCTCTCTTAAAATGAGACGCTGCATGAACTTTCTAAAACCTCATGCTTTTGGCACAATATTTTGTAATGTTGGCAAAAAAATTAACCTTTTTTTAAGGTTGAGATTTCAGTAATCAAAAGAACGAGAAACATCGTCGCTCTGGAATAAAACTCCAGGATTACAAATGCAACCAAAGAGATACAAAACCATCACACATAGCCACATCGAACCAAACAAAAGGATACGTTCACGTGGACAAAACCTTGCATGATATTCTGCAAACTTGCAAAAGATGACATTCATCTGGCAAGGAAGCCCTCGATGAGATAGCACAAAGAATTCTACATAGTCCACTGCCAGGTAAAACGAACAAGAGCACAAACAAAAGCAGGACAACCCAAACACTCGTCGATGCACAAAAATTAACGTTAAACTGTGAGATGACAAAGAATTTATAAAAAGTCTCACTTTTGAAAGAGTCTCATTAGTATTTTAATTAAAATTTGGCATTGCCTTAAAATTAAATACAATTCATATGCAGAGCACATAGTAATAGTACAACCAAAACCCTACCACCCCCACAATTCAAATTCCCTCCTCCAAGCCCTTTGCTTTGCTCCCATACCTCGCTACCCTCTCGTCAATCCACTCCCTCATATCCTCAACACAATCTTCGTGTTCTCGTCTGGCTCCCCTTGTACCAAAGAATGGTACATCCTATCGTAAATCTTCAAAGTCTTGTCCGCACTTGATTGCCTTATCGTACAGCAACTGCAACGACGTCTAGCATGTCACCCTATCAGTCGTCCCGTGTACTGTCAAAAACGGCGCCATTACCCCCAAGAAATTGTCAAAAACATCATCACTTATGGAATAAAACTCCAGGATTACAAACGCAACCAAAGAGATACAAAATCATCACACATAACCACATCAAACCAAACAGAAGTATACATTCACGTGGACAAAACCTTGCATCACATTCTGCAAAACTTGCAAAAGACGACATTCCTCTGGCAAGGAAGCCCTTCCATGAGACAGCACAAAGAATTCTACGTAGTCCATTGCCAGGCAAAACGAACAACAAGAGCACAAACAAAAGCAGGCCAACCCAAACACTCATCGATGCACAAAAATTAAAGTTAAATTGTAAGATGACAAAGAATTTATAAAGAGTCTCACTTTTAAAAGATTATCTTCAGTATTTTAATTAAAATTTGACATTACCTTAAAATTAAATACAATTCATATGCAGAGCACATAGTAATAATACAACCAAAACCCCACCACCTCCCACAATTCAAATTCCCTCCTCCAAGCCCTTTGCTTTGTTGCCTATACCTCGCCACCCTCTTGTCAATCCACTCCCTCATATCCCTCAACACAATCTCCGCATTCTTGTCTAGGCTCCCCTTGTACCAAAGAATAGTAATCCCATTGTAAATCTTCAAAGTCCTGTCCGCGCTTGATCCCTTCTCGTATAGCAGCTGCGATGACGTTGGGCATGTCACCCCGTCTACCGTCCTGTGTACTGTAAAAAACGGCACCATCACCCCCAAGAAATTGTCAAAAATATTGTCACTCTGGAATAAAACCCTAGGATTAGAAACGCAACCAAAGAGATACAAAACCATCACACATAACCACATCAAACCAAACAGAAGTATACGTTCATGTGGACAAAACCTTGCATCACATTCTGCAAAACTTGCAAAAGACGACATTCCTCTGGCAAGGAAACCCTTCCATGAGACAGCACAGAGAATTCTACATAGTCCATTGCCAGGCAAAACGAACAACAAGAGCACAAACAAAAGTAGGACAACCCAAACACTCGTCGATGCACAAAAATTAACGTTAAACTGTAAGATGACAAATAATTTATAAAGAGTCTTACTTTTAAAAGATTCTCTTCAGTATTTTAATTAAAATTTGACATTACCTTAAAATTAAATACAATTGATATGCAGAGCACATAATAATAGTACAACCAAAACCCCACCACCCCCACAATCAAATTCCCTCCTCCAAGCCCTTTGCTTTGGTTCCATACCTCGCCACCCTCTCGTCAATCCACTCCCTCATATCCCTCAACACAATCTCCGCGTTCTCGTCCGGCTCCCCTTGTACCAACGAATGGTACATCCCATCGTAAATCTTCAAAGTCTTGTCCACGCTCGATCCCTTCTCGTACAGCAGCTGCGACGATGTCGGGCACGTCACCCCGTCCGCCGTCCCGTGCACTGTCAAAAACGGCGCCGTCACCCGCGAGAAATTGTCCTGCACGTACTGGCACATCCTAGCGATCTCCCTCATTGTCCCCACCCTCGGTGGGCCCGTGTACCTCCTCGGATTCGACGCTATGATCTTCAGCTTCGCGGGGTCCTTGATCGCCTTCCCCACCATCTTGTTGTCCGGCATCGCCGCCCACGTGTCGGCGAGCCCGAACAGGAGGCCGTACAGGAAGAGGTGGACTTTGCTGGGCTTCATGTTCTCCGGGATGACGAAGAGCGGGGCGGAGAAGATCAGGCCCGTCCAGGCGTCGGGAGGGGATTGGAAGTACATGACCATGGTGGCTAAGCCGCCCATGGACTCGCCGAACAGGAAGGCCGGGAGGCAGGCGTAGGGTTCGGACTGGCGGATGTGGAGGAAGTAGGAGAGGGAGCTGGCGGCGACTTTTTCCATGTCGCCGAGGTAGCAGCGGATGCCGTCGGACCGGCCGTGGCCGAGGAGATCAGCGGCGAAGACGGCGTAGCCCCAGGTGGTGTAGTGGATGCAGATTTTCTGGAAGAGCCAGCCGGTGTCGGATCCGTAGCCGTGGGTCATGAAGACGGTGGCTTTGACTTTTTGATCCAAAGGCAGGAAGGACTGGGTGAAGATCTGGCCGTTGGGGGTTTGGAAGAAGGATTTGGTGTTGCGTACCCCTTGGGAGGTGTAGTACTCCTCCTCCGGCATGTCGCCCCAGAAATTCGGTGGCGTCTCGGTCGACATTTCGTTATGCGTATCGGGATTTGGGATTTGGCGCTGAGGATAAAATGGAAGCAGACTTTAAGGGGGAGGAAAGCGCCGTATATGTGGATGGTGCGGTTGGTGGGGGGAGTTGGTGGACTAATTTTTGGGCCCACCACTTTTCCACCGGTGTTGACGTGTGAACTTCTTTTCATTTTTTAACGTTTTATTTTATTTTTTTTTGGATGAGGTTTGGTGGACGACTTTGGGTTTTTTTTTTTTTTTGTTTAGTATAGCAATATGTTTACATCTTTTTAGTAGTGTGAGAGTATTAGTGTGTTAAATATCTAGTTGTTTGAGAGAGAAAAATGGTAAGAATGGATTCGTACTATAATGTATAAATATAATTGATTTTCGCTACTGCGGTAAAGTGTTATATGCAACAATAAAAAATATTAAGTAGATTCTCTTAAAGTACGATTCTTCATTAATTATCTATTACTTTACAGTTTAACGTCAATGGTCCCAAAAATGAGATGGCTTAGAATCCATAAAGAGTTTCATTACAATTTCTCCACAACAATATATTTATATTAAATTGTGAGAATTTAAATAAACACAATAAACATGCTATAAAAATTTGATATCTAATTAACCATTAACGAGATTTGAATTTACGACTTTCAATTACAAAGTAAAAGAATACCAGTAGACTAAGATTCAACTTTGAGACTTTATTTTTTGCTTTAATAGCAAGCATGATTTATTTGACTATATTACTCTGTAGGTTGTGAATTGTTTTGGTGCGGATTTGAGGCAGGGCACAACTTGGTGATTAATCATTTGGGAATTGTCGGTTTTGCCCTCACCAGCCACCCCTTATCTTGCAATGAGCGGCAACAACAATACCCTTTGTCAATTTGACAATTGCAATCACCAACCACCTTACTTCCGCAATGTGACAACGCGTTTCTATTCTCTCAAGACTAACGTGCTTCATATTCATCATTCAATACTATGGTTTGATGGTATTCTTCTTTATTTGTAGGGTCCATTCTACGTCGAATTTCAACGATTCGAATTATCTATTTTGTAAACCTCGATTCATAGATCATCTTTACAAAAATTCAATTTAATCCGAAATTATTTGCCTGTTTAATTATAACTTTGAAATTTAATTGTTTATTAGAGAACAAGGTATTTGTCAACTTCTTTAAACTCAATTAAATACTTCAAATATTTTTGATTTGATTAATATTTTGCAAGGATGATGAAACTTGAAAAAATAGATTGTTCAAATCTTTAAAATACAATGTGATATGGGCCCAATAGCCAATCCCCATTTTTACAAACAATTAGGAATTTATTCCCTTAAAGACTTCCTATACCTCAATATTGCAAAATCAATTCAATTAAAAATTATTTTATTATTTAATTCTCATTATAAAATTTCAATATTTCTTATAATACTTGATTTATCAATTTTTACCACTACAATCAGATATCTCAATTATTTTGAGTTTGACTAATATTTTGTAACGATAAAGTGGAGACTTGAAAATTAATCAATTCTGAATTGTTGTAGTAGAACTACGTCCACTTTTTTGTAAAAATAAAAATCCCCTCCCCCAAGGGTTTCAGTTGTCTGTATCATTTCAACTCTGACCATATTTGTGTTATCATTGTAATAGTGATAGATCAGAGCATGAAAATCTCACATAGTTGAATCTCATTTATGTTGGAGAGAAATGATAAAACACATAGTTCAAAACACAATGCCATTCTCTACCCGAATGAGAGATAGGATCCTTGAAAGATTCTTTTGGTGAGGATCTCAGAAATTCTTTAATCATGTCTATTCATCGTATATCGTGTAGTCAATTTTCGTCAGGTATTGTTTGTGTTCAATTTTAAATAATATAATTGAAAATGATTTTTGACTGCACAATGTGTGATGAAAGGACAAGATTAAAGGATCCCTGTGATCCTCAAAGACAATTATGCAAGAATCCTATCTCCCCGAATGATTAGGGGTGGGTCCATTTTGAAACTGTTGAGTTTTTTTGCCAAAACAAAAAACCATACTGAAATTACTATACGTCTTCGGCTCGGTTCAATTTTATTCAGTTTTTTTTTGTTTGTTTTCAGTTTAATTCAGTTTTTAAAAATAAATCTGAAATTCCTAAGTTCGAGTCTCAGATTTCCGGGTTTCCTTGATCCCAGTTTCATTAATATTGCAAGCAAAGAATTCCAGCTATTCGACCTGCCAACGTATAGTACAATATTCATTAGCAAAAACAATTACAATGTTACAAGTGGCCTTTTACTCCAGCAATGGAAAGATGTTGAGTTCTTGCATGAAAAAGTGGATTCGAACCCTATCGGTGGCTAATCTAACAAAATTCATCTGTTGACAAAAACAAAAAAGATTACAATGTCAAGAAGGGAAATTCTCATTCGTATATCCAAAAACGAGTAAAGCACCGGAAGAATACTAATAAAACTGCAATTCCAAGCTACCTAATTATAAAACCCACATAAAATTCCAATTAACACATACAGATTTCATATTTTCCATCAAATACAAACAATCCAAAAGCTGGGTAGGAGTCAATTCGGTTGGGTTCGGTTCCAAACCACTGACAACGAAACCCAACCAAAAAATCTCGGTTCAATTTTTTTGGGTTTCGGTTTGGTCTTTTCGGTGTTTAGTTTTTTGAACCCACCCCTATTAACGAGGGATTTGTGACATTTAATTACATACTGAAGATAGGGTGTGGTGGTCATCATGGATTCAGTAGGGGGCTAGGAACTCTTTGTAAGCGGAAATGCTAGAACCAACTCAACTTCCAGTCCATGTCCCAAGCAACAATGTTGCCAATTTTCAATGAGCCCAATATACTGTACCTCTGTTGGATACCATGGTTTGGGCCTCACTTAGCCATGTAGGAAGCCTAAAAGGCTCCCACCCTCTCTTTGTAACCCTAACCCTAAGACACTTTTCCTGTCTCAACATATTTCTACCCTCCCTCAAGAGTCAAGAGACAGTGCCTTTTTTTACTTGGCACCTCAACTGAGGCATATGTTCAGACAAAGGAGAATGCGATCGACGGTGCCATGCTCTCATTTGTCTAGGTATATGCATCCGGTTATAGTGCGTCGAGTAAAAACCGGCATTTCTTTGACGAAGAGGCGGAATAGAATAGGGCAGATTATTGGTTACATAGAGCTCCCAAAAATGAGGTTGTAGAACACTTCTCCGACGGAAGTTGGGAAGGTTCGTGCAGTTGGCTTGAGAACATAATGTAGTCTCTTAAGAATGGGCTCCTGGGCTCCTGGACTCCTGTCCTCCTTGTTTTTCTCCCATGGGCTTGTTTTTCTAAGCATTGGTATTAAATTTTTTTTCTTTTAATTATTAATTGATATTTACTACTCTAACTTAGATGAGATAAACGAGAGAAGGTTTGAACTCAAAAAGCAGTAGGTTGAAATGAAAGTCTTATCCATCAAGGCAATCTAGTACTTGCATTTGTATTGAATTAAAGATACTACTGATTTTGATCCCATTTTGTTTTTTAGGCCAGTCAATCTCATATGATTTATTATAAACAATTCAACTTCACTTCATGTGTACAAGATAGTCTACTATACACATGTGTACGAGATAGTCTACTATATTTAGAAATTTGATGAAGTATATGAATATGTGTTTTGGTAGTAACTCATTTTGACTCCGTTGAAGTGACTTTGATGTTAAGATTTTGATGTCTTTTGAGGGGGGCTATTCATCGATGTGTAATTCCCACCAATGAAGCAGACATATCCATCACTGGAACCTCCACTTTCCTTGAAGCATTCTAACTTGAAACAGTAACACAACTGAACCCTCCAACAACCCTACCTAGCTATCCTTGTAAACTAACATACACAAGCTTTAGCTACGCTTTCAAACCAACTCATTTACTTGTCCTCTCTTGCATTTCGGTTATTTTAAGGAAATTCTTTGGATAGCCTAGCTTGCCTTTACTTTGTGTCATTGTAACAATAACCCTTTTCCAAGATTTGGCAATAAAAGAAAGAAAATGACAACAACAAACCAAACGTTTTAAAGTGAATGGAAACTGGAGCTTGTTAATTTGAAATCATAGCAACTAGTATTACGGTCTATGATATTTCTATTCGCTTTTAACTGATATATCTCATGTTCGAATACCATTACGTGTTATATTTGTATTAAGTTTGATAACTAGTAAGTGTCTGGTGCATTGTACGTGTCCTAGTCCAATCACCATTTCCTCATAGTAGAATATTTCCTCCCTTTTAAAATAGATTATAAGTTGTGGTATCAAAAAAATTGACACCACAATATCCTTCATCAAGCTAAAATAAGTGAACCTATAGTTTAAACCCAAAAGTATTCTTAGATGTATATAGTGAAGTAAAATTACTATATGGCATAAGGTTTTTTGGTAGAGATACATAGTCTCCTATTGTAGGCGCAACCTATTTTATGTAAGTACAATGTTATGTTAAAGTTAAACATGAGACTTATGGCATGTGGAGACTGCATGCTAGAGATTTTTAAGTTTTAGTGTATCTTTCGAAGCAATTTCTAAATGAATAGAGAACGCCATGAAATTCTTCTTCAAAGATTTCCATTTAAGAGCATAAAGCTCAAAGTAGGTACTCGATACCAATACATTGTATTCTAGATAAAGTTGATATAAATTGCCTCAATGAGTACTCTTGTTAGTTCGAACTAAATTTATATTGTTTCAAGTACTTTTGAAAGTTCCCATAATTATAATACTTCTGAAAGCTCTAAGGGGCTATTTAGGGATGGCAACGGGTCGGTTTGGGGATGGAAATGCTATATCCATCCCCATAACCACGAACATTAACCATATCCATAACCGCAAATTAACCATTGGGGATTATCCATAACCATATCCACCGGATAACGGATTTTCAATCGGTTATTGGTTATATCCATCTTCTCGTCAAAAAATTAAAAAAAAATTATATTCATCCAATTAATGCACTATAAATTTTAGTAGATACTAATTCCATCGTTAAATAGCAACATCCAATTACAAAAAACATA